CTCTGCACAACTCCCTGACAGGAGGGGACAGCCAGGGGGGATCGGGCTCTGCTCCCAGGGAACAGGGACAGGAGGAGAAGAAATGGCCTCAAACTCTGCCAGGGGAGGTTCAGTTGGATATCAGGGAAAATTTCTCATGGAAACTGTTGTCCAGCCCTGGCACAGGGGTGGAGTGCTCATCCCTGGAGGGGTTTAAAAGACATGTGGATGTGGCACTCGGGGACATGGTCAGTGGTGGCCTTTTCAGAGCTGGGACATGGTTGGAATCCACAGTCCCAGAGAGTTTCTGTGATTCTAAGGATCATCCCTCCTGCCGCAGCAGCTGAAGATGTCCATAAATTTCTAGGTCACTCAGCTCATGCACTGCTTGGGATAGAGACCTGCCAGGTCTCAGCTTCAGGTGCTCCAGGAGAAAAGTGGGATGAGCACTGAGCCCTGGCAGTCCTGGGACTGGTCTGTCCACACTGGCCATGCTGTAACATGAGTTTAATTAGAGTAATTGAGCTCTCGGACGAGGCTTGGAGCAGAGAAGTTGCAATATTTGGGGTTTCGAAAAGGTCTCTGCAAGGTCACTCAGCCCAGGCTGGTGAGGCAAGAGCAGCCCGGGGATAAATGGGAATGTTAATCCCTGTTTGAGGATGGCAGGATTTGGGGAACAGCCTGTTTGTGCAGGAGAGAGGGCTTTCAACAAAGTCCCACAGGAATTCGGCCAGAAACCTCCTCTGGTGCCCCCCAAAATGATCCAGGATAGGAAAGAGCACAGCCAAGCACTTCGAAGCAGCTCTAAATTACTCCTGGCACTGAGGGGAATGGAATGATCATGTGGAGCAGAGCAATAAAATGGCAGATGAACTTCCCTGCTCATAATTGCAGAGTAATGAACATGAAAGCTTTTCCCCCATCCAGACACGTGCAGTGGCTCCGTATCAGCAATTATTGGGATTTAACGAGATCTCGGAGACGCTGCCGAGCCCCTTTGAAGGTCTCCTTTCAACAATTAGCAAAAGTCAAAAAAGGCAAGTGGAATATTAAGAACTCTTGGAAGAAGAGAACAAAAGGGGAAATGTCCTTTTTTTCCTTCATCTGTTGCCTCTCAGCTCTGATGGATCCACACCAGGGAGATGCTGGGGGAAGGCATCACGTTGATCCAGGGTTTGGGATAGCACCTGTGTGGAGAGAGTTCGAATGAACCAGGGAAAAGGAGATAAAGAGACAAATAATTTAAAATTAGAGAGGTTTGGAATGGGAAAATTGACAACACGATCCTTGGGTAATGGAGTTGATGCTTTGCCCACCAAGTGTCTTCATGGAGGTGTGGGAATTGTCACCAGTGGAGACTTCCCACCACCCTGAGATCAGATCTGCAGGGTGAGCCCTTCATCCGTGAGAAAACCAGAATCAGCTCCAGGAAAATCCTGCTGGACATGGAGCAGAAAGTAAAGAGGATCAAGGTGGGCACCACATTTGAGTCCTTCACCTGGAACCTCTTAGGAAATTCTTGGAGCTTTCTAGGGATCCCCAGCACAACAGCTCCTATAGAGTTTGTGCTTTGAATTTGGGGAAGACATGTTCCTCTTAAATCCTTCAGACTTTCTTGCAACACCAAGGCTTCCTAGGAATTTCCTATGATTTGTGTCTAGAACATTTCCAGGAATGTTCAAGGGCTTCATAAGACGTCTCCAATCTGAAATATCTCAAGGAATGCCCTAGAGCTTCCCTGACTTTCCTCCACCTAGAAACTTCCCCAGAACCTTCCGTTTTCCCTGTGAGTTTTCTCTCTTTCGGAAGTTTTCTGGCATTTCCTTATCAGTAACCTGTCTAGGAGCATCCCAATGAATTCCAAGGCTCCCACAAGAGCTCTCAAGAAATTCTTCAGTCTAGAATATCAGTATGAAATTCTCCAAATGCTTTTGAGAAACTTCTCCATCCAGGAAACCTCAGGCAAGGACTTTTCTCAGACTCTTCCACCGTTGTCTAGAAATTCCTCAGATGAGGGATTCCAGGAATTTTACATGCATTGCAGGACTTGTTCCTTTGCACTTCATGATGATTCAAGGTATTCCCCAAATGATTTTTTTTTTTAGGAATTCAGCCCTGTTTTGTAAGAGTTTTCCCAAGTGCTCGGATTTTTGCAGCATGTCTGTGGAATACCGACCTCTCCAGGCAGCCCAAACCAGGAGGGAGGAAGGGAAATCTCCCTTGGCTGTGTCACACCCTGGAGCCATCCCGATGGAGAATGGAGGTGCAGCATCCCAGGATGTGGCTGTGGTGAAGCAGAGTCTCTCTATGGATGTCAGGGCAGCTCTGTGGGAATTGTGCTCATGGCAGAGCTGGGAAGGAGCAGGAGAAGCAACTCTGCCACATCCAAACCTCTCCTGGCAAAGAGGAGCCGCCCTCACCAGCTCTGAGCAGGACTGTGGGGCAGCTCGGGCTCTCCTGGGATCTCTGCACATCCCTGGAGACTGTGCCAGACTGAACAGCCCATTCCAAGCTCCTCGTTGGATCCAGGGATCTGTCACTGCCGCGCCAAGAGCTGGATTTGGGATGTGATCCACGCTTCTGGATCATCCATCACCGCCAGGCAGGGAACACACGGTCTGCAGGCTCAGGGTGTGGCAGCTGACACAGCCACATGTGGCCAGATGTGAGGAGAGAAGGAAAAGGCAAAGCTGGGAGCAAGGCAGGAAAAGCCCAGACTGCTCCAGGACATCTCCTGGACATGCCAGCACCTCCTGCTGCTCCTGCTGCTGGCTGTGGGTTCACCAGGGTCAGCTGAGGTCCCCCCTGAAGATGCTCCTCAATCCCTTGGATGTTCTGGAAACTCGATTCCTGCTTCAAAGAACTCAAAGAACCTTTGAACCAAACATCACCTTGCACTGGAGGCTCCAGAAGGAGCATCAGGAAGTGTCCAAGGCCAGGCTGGATGGGGCTTGGAGCAACCTGGGACAGTGGAAGGTGTCCCTGCCCACGACATGAGTGTGGAATAAAATCATCTTTAAGGCTCCTTCCAACCCAGACCATTCTGTGATTCCACGATCTCCCAGGGAATCCTCAGGGTGCTGTGGGGCTCCAAATTTTCCTGACATCCACCCTGGTGTGGGTGATCCATGGAAAGGAGGAGTGCTGAGGGGGTAACACTGGAGAAGAGCTGGGAAATCAGGGGCTGCACCCCCAGCAGAGCTTTGGGGAGCCCACAGGACACCGTCCCCCCCCAGCCACACCCTGCCCAGGGTGACTCAGGTGGGTGGGGTGGACACACCTCGTCTGCAAATATTGTCTGAAATGCAGCAGCCCAGGCTGTGTTTGCTCTGTTTATCTCCTGACATTATTTATTTCCTACCTGTCCATGGGCTGCTGGGGACTGTCACACTGGGCTGTGGCTGTGGCTGTGGCTGTGGCTGTGACTGTGTTGGATTTGGCACAGGGCAGGAGAGCCTGGGCCAAGCTGGGCCAGGAAGAACTGAGAGAATCTGGGGCAGGGAGAGTTGGGGATGCTGGGCTGTGGGAAGAGCACCTGGGCACATGCAAGGAGCAAAATGTGGAAATCAACCCTGGAAATTGGTCCTGCAGCTCCATCTTGCAGGAATTTGGGGTGTGATCCCCCTGGAGCACCAGCAGGACCAAGGGGTGGGGGAGCAGAAAGAGCCTTTCCTGCTCTGGTGTGATTCTGCAGCCAGCGGGGTCACCGTGATCACAAAAGGGTGGGTGGGTCAAACATGAAGATTTCTCTGGCTGAAGCAGCCCCTGTGCCCACCTTCCTCCTCCTCCTTCTCCTCCTCCTCCTCTCCTGCCTCTGGATCTGCAGTCTGGGCTCTCTGCAAAGTCCTGGATTGCAAAATAGCCCAAAAGTTCCCCAAAGAAGCACCAGCTCTCTGATCCCACAGAAGAGCCACCCTCCCATGCTCCAGCTGTCACCTGACACAGGGACACGGGTGAGGGGTGGCAGAGGGACAGGGTCAGGCAGAGGGACCGTCCTGGAGGCACCCAATTGTGTAAGAGGCGGCTTAGAGAGGAACTGGAGGATTTGGATCCTGTTTCATGCTTAACTCCCTGATATCTGATCCCTGGGGAGGAGGAGAGGATTCTTCTGCCCCTGTTCAGATGGGACTTAAGAAGGGCCACTAAGAAAATCATCTGAAGCACCATGAGAGGACTCTGAGCCCTTCCCTCGGGCTGTGGGTGCCGGATGAGGGGGGATCCCAGGACTGTGAATGGTCCCAGCGCTGCCTGGGTGACCAGGGACAGGGGAGACAGCTCCTGGTGGCCTCCCAGCCCCGCTGCTGCGAGGAAGCACCGGCCCTTTAGGAAGGGGATTTCTAACAAAGCTGAGATCACGTTGCTGTTTGACTTAATCTCAGGCCATTCTGTCTCCAAATCCCTCCTAATTCCTCGCTGATATTAATTACAGTGTATCCGACCCCGGCCTGGGGCATGGCAGCTCTTCCCGACATCCCAAACCGAGCACTTCCCAAGGATCCTGTTCGCAGCCAGCAGTCCCTGAGCCAAATAATCCCTGGCCTAATGCACCGACTTAAATTAGATTTGGGCTCTCCGTCCCTGCTCCGCCACTTTCTGCTCGTTCCCCACAGCTGCAGAGCAGACAAAACAGGAGGGATTTGGAGGGAGGAGCTGGCTGTCTGCTCCAGCACTCTTGGATCGCGGGATTTGGGTTTTGCTGGGTTGCCTCTCCCCGGATCAGCCACTTGCTGCCTGCAGAGGAGAGTGGTGGCAGCAGCTCTGGTGTCACCTCGGTGGCTGGGACAGAGTCTTTGGTCCTGGCTGCAGGGCTGGGGACTCTGCAGCCGAGATACAGAGTAAAGTCGGGGTTTTGTGCTGACCTTTGAGCTGAAAACTGCTTTAATGGAGTCACGGATCCAAGAGAAAGATTGCACTTGCTCGGCATCTCCAAAAGCAGCTGGTGCCCCACCAGTCCTGCCTGACAGGCTGGAGAGCATCCCGCATGAACAGGGGGAAATTCCTGATAGGAGAGCATGAAATTCCTGATAGGAGAGCATCCCGCATGAACAGGGGGAAATTCCTGACAGGAGAGCATCCCACACCTTCAGCAGAGCATCCCAGGCAGGGAAGCTCCCCCGGGCTGGTCCGTGGCTCTTGTGACACGGAGTGCTGGGAATCCCTCATGGCACGAGTGACCCGCGGCTGGTCCGGCCCCGTTCCGGGCTGGGACACCCGGGGCTGTCGCACCCCCACGGACACACGGACATGGACACACGGACACAGGCACACGGACACGGACACAAGGACACGCCGCCCGTTCCCTGCAGGTGGGATGAGCCGAGCAGGGGCTGTTATTCCAGAGCCACTTCCCAGAGCAAAGCCAGAGCCCCCGGGCAGGGCCCTTTGGCCGCAGGCGGTGACCCGTGGCCAGCACATCGTCCGAGCCCCGCGGGGCCGCGGCTGCCGAGCCCTGCCGGGGCAGTGATTGATGTTGTCCCTGTCCCCGGAGCAGCAGAGGGGCTGTCTCCTGCCCTGCTGGCCCGAGGGGCTGCTCCGGCCAGGAATCAAAGCTTCGGGAGCTCCCGAGACTTCCAGCCAGGCAGGATCCACGATCCTGAAGGAGGGCTGGGGTCAGCCAGGGGCTGCCTTGCCCCGCTCCTGCCCTGGATTTGGCAGGGATTTGGGATGCTCCAGGCACCGAGGGTGCAGGCACAGCCATTCCCTGCGGCGCCTTCCCAAGGCACTGCCGGTCTGGCTCAGCTTCCCATTCCTCTCCCTCCCTACCCTGGGGTTCACTTATGGGATTTTTTATCTGCTAATGCTCGTGCCGCACTCTGTGGGGAAGGGCAGGCAAAGCCGCGAGGGAATGGAGTGTAGGGAATCCTCTTGTTCCATCCTATGTCTTCCAGGACCCCTCTGGGAGTGAGATCCCCTCACCGGGCAGGAATTACTGGCTGGTTGTGAGCGAAGAGTGAAGCAGAGCTGCCTCCCTCTCTTCCAGGTTTTGCCATAACCCAGCTGGTTCTGGCCCGGTTTGGGAGACGAGCGTTTCCTGCGCCCGTCCACGCCATTGCAGACAAATTGATGGAGTCAGCAGGATGGGAAGTGTTATCACGTACTACACAAATATGGAATAAATTCAAGTCTCAGATTATCAGATAAATGGGCTCCTGATGACTGGCATGATTGGAAAGTAATGGGGAAACAGCTAAACGTGGTGGCAGGGGGTGTGTTAAACATGGAAAAGATCCAGGAATTCCTTGCCCTGTCCATAAGATGAGGGGGCTGGGAATGATCTTCCCCTGCCTTCCCAGCGCTGTTCGCTGCTCCCAGAGTGAGCAGGGGGAGAAGCCCCTTCCCCAAGGGAATGCCCCGCAATTCCCCCCTTTCCCCCCGCGCCTGCCCAACCCCTGATTGCTCATTAACCAGCTCTTGCACCAGAGAATAATGAGTCGTAAATCACCCTGCAATCGCCTGGACTTTAAACCCCAGCCCTCCTGGAGTGCGCGGCCATCCCGCCGGGAGAAGGGGGAGAGGCCCCCGATCATCCCAACCCAGCCTCGGTTTTCCTTGGACTTTCGCATCTTGCAGGCTCGGGTTAATCTTGGAGCAAACAGTGCGGGAGATAAGGAGCCGGCCGACCCGGCGAGCCCCTCGCCCTCCATCCCACACCTCACCTTTGTTTTCCTTGGCCCAGCCCCGCAGGTGTTCGCTGCCAAAGCAACCCCATTGCTCCAGGATGCCAAAGTCTCGGCAAAATGGGACCAGCGCCATCCAGCAGCACCCCAAATCCATCTTGGTTATCCCTATCCTCCCCCGGCAGCTCTGGATCGCCCTTTCCTGGGCTCTTTCCTTGTGTTTTTCCTCTCCACAGCATCCTTGGGTGGAGTGAAGCATGTTAACAACCATCCCGGTTGTTTTCTCACTCTTGGTGTGGGTTCTGCCACCTCGGGCCAATGTCGCCGTGATAAAGTGGTGGCACCATGACTCAGGAAAAACGAGAGCAGGGAAAACAGGGAGTGAGACTGGCCAGAAAACGGCCAACACTTCCCCTACACATAGAAAAAATGGGGAGAATCATGTTTTCAGAGTCTTTCATCGAAATCGGGAGGGCAGGGAATAGGACATTGTGGAATGAAATAGAGGAGAATAAAAACTCCAAAATATTCATGTTTGAATTTTTCTCCATCCAATGGCAAAATTTTTCTCTTCCATGGCAAAAAGGAGGTTTCAACATCAGCCTCTGGCTGGCACAAGGAGTGGGGACGTGTCGCATTTTTCCCTGTCCCCTCGCAGCCCCCGGCCCTGCCGCACCCCTGGGCTCGCTCAGGAGCCCCCGCTCTCCCTTTGAACCTTTCTCTTTGAACCTCCCTCCGCCGATTCCCTGCGGGACACCTGAAAGCCATTACCCGGCAGATGTGGGTGGGAAGGGAGCGCTGGGGGGCTCGGGGGTGCTGGCAGGAGTGACCCGTCTTTGATCAAAACCTTTGCTCTGCTCCTCTCAGCCTCACTCGCAGCCTCCCCGGGTCAGTGCACGGGGGCAGCGCTCGGCACAACTGTCCTCATGCAGGAAAATGGGTGGAAATCCCAGCCTCCCAAAGCCACCTCCATGTGGGGACATCCCACCCCCAAAGACTGGGGATCAGTGTCGAGACATCCCAACCCTCAGCAAATGCAGGGCATCCCACTCCTCCTTCCCTCAGGTCCTCTCTCCTGGGGAAGCCATGGGGCTTTTCCAGGACCCTGGAGCCCCAGGAGCAGCCGGACAGGAGCGGCCACACCTTCACCTGCTTCTTCCACCAGCTCAGGGGCAAAATCCCATCATAGGATCATCCCCCAGCTCGCCACCAAAATAACCTCAGACCCACACTAGCCTTGCACGGGTGCCTGTGGCCAGGGCAGGGCCACCCCACCGCCTCCCCCGGAGGTGTGAGGGACCTTTGATCGGCTTTGGAATCTCCGGGACACCGGGATCTCCCCTGTCAGGAAGAGCAGCCACACTAAATCGTGCATCCCCAGCACACAAACGGCTCCACTCATCGCCTGTCCCTCCCCATCCTCCGGGCTCCGGCTGAGAAAGTGCTTCCAGACACGGGCCGGAGATTTGGGAACCTCCCCGGGGCTCCAGCTGTGCTGTGGAGATGGGAAAACAAGACCTGGGGCTGCACCGATGCTGCTGAGCAAGCGGGTTGGGGAGGCAGGATACTGCCACCGTCCTGCCAGCCCTGCCAGCCCTACCTGTCCTGCCATTCCTGCCAGTCCTACCTGTCCTGCCATTCCTGCCAGTCCTGCCAGTCCTGCCATTCCTGCCATCCCTGCCATCCCTGCCATTCCTGCCATCCTTTCCAGCCCTGGCCACTTCCCAGCTGCAGGCTCGTGGCACTCAGGGGTCCCCATCCTGCCCCCAGCTCTCCAGTCACCTTCAGCTCCCCAAAGAGGCTGATTTGGCACTGCTGGGTTGTACTCGATGGTCCTGGAGATCCTTTCCTACCTAAACGATCCTAGGATTTCCCAGCAGGTTCCCACTGGAGTTTCCCATCCCTCTCCCTGCCCTCAGCTCCCTAGCTCATCCATTCCCTGGTTCACCCCCACTGAGGTCCCGCAGGGATGTGCCCTCCCTTGCACGGGACAGAAGGATGAGGGACTCATGTGCGGCTGTCAGGGATGTCCCACAGCCCTGTGGTCACCCTGCATGGCCAATGGAGCATCCACCAGCTCCCCAAATCCTGAACTCACTGCTCCAGTCCCCGGGATGGTGAGTTCCATTCGGGATCTTCCCTTGGAGCAGCACTTCCCCATAGCAGCCAGGAAATGCCACCCAGAGCAGTCAGTGCTGGGAGCTGCTCCAACCCCTTCCTCTCCCCTACAAAAATCCCTTTTCCAGTTGGGTTCACTTCTCTATGTTTATAATGAATTTGTCCATGATTAATCATTCCAAGAATTCCCTGCAGATCCTCTCGGCACTTGGGAGGGGACATTGTGCCTATGGCTCCGAATTCCTCTGGATTAGCAATTAAGACATCTTTTCTCACTTTCTATCCAAGGGAGAGCCCTTCTGGTAGAGCCATTACAGGACTCACACAGCCTCGCTCTTTGTAGGGCTGAGATTCCCTCGGCAGGATTTGCTCCCATCTTTCACCAAGGTCTTTTTGGGGACCATAAGCCTAATTAAAACCTTATTCATTATAACTTTAGCACCTCGTTGCGCCTCAAGGACTTTGTAATCCCTTTCTGGGATTCCTGGGAGTAGAATACAAGTTGGGTTCAATGTTGGCTTGAAATGAGTCAAGAGGTGCAGGTAAAATTCCCAGCTCACAGCTCCATCCACCCCTCCCAAAATTCCAGGATCCTTTGTGGATTCCTGCCACCCCATCTTGTCCTCATCATCCTCTTGGATGGGCTCTTCTCCATCCAAATCCATCCCCAGCTGCAATACTGGGCATTGGGGATGTGACATCTCAAAAAAAGCAGCTAAAAGATGATGTGGGGGAAGGGAAAATATCTGCAAAGAGGAGCTCAGGACAACCCAAATGTGTTCCCCCCGGATTTCCCCAAGCTTTTGTTTCGGTCACGACGGTCATTTATTTTTAATATGTTTTCCTGTCATTAAGTTTAATTTCAGGATTTTCGAAGCAGAAAAACATGTTCAGTAATTTGGGGAGGTTTTCTCTCTCTTTTTTTGTAGTGAAAAAGGCAAATAGTGCTGATCTGCTCCTGACAAAATTGATGAATCGGCACTTTTAACAATCGTGTTTTTCTTTGGCCACTTCCCAAATCTCCCAAAATCTCCAGCCCGATCTCGTTGCTCTGCCAGCGGAGCTGCCCCATCTTCCTGCACTCCTGGTGGTCCTTGGGGCCGGTGATTTCGGGATTCTCCTCAGCAGTGGCAACCCCTTGCCCCCGGCATTGCTGCCACAGGGACTCCGAAGAAATTCTGTCACAGAAAATCCTCCCTCTCCTCTGCAGTGTCCTTCCCACCTTCACTTCCCTTTTCTTGCCTGTGGGTTTCTCGTGGAGGCACGAATTCCCTGGCAGAGCTTCTCCCTCTGAAGTGCTGGAGGACTTTGTTCCCTCCCCTTGCCTCATCCTACTCTGTTTCCTGTCCTTTCTCCTGCCTCCAGGCAAGTTCGGCTCCTCAGGGCTGAGACAAACCTTTGCAGCTCCCGTTCCGCAGGCTCCTGCCCTGGGCCTCGCCTTTCCCCTTCCCACTCTCATCCCTTCTCTGCTGGAAAAGTTCCAGGGCTGTGCCCGCTGCTCTCTGGCAGGGCTTGGGTTTCCCGCGTCCCCCCCACAGGAAGGATGCCGGCTTTCCCAAAATAATGTGGCTCTTGGCATCCCTGCCTGCTCCCTCGCTGTTCCCTGCCTGCTCCTTGCCTGCTGCCTGACTGTTCCCTGCCTATTTCCTGCCTGATCCCTGCTTATTCTGTGCCTGTTCCTTGTTTGTTTCCTGCCTGTTCCTTTTTATTCCCTTCCCGTTCCCTGTTTATTCCCTGCCCATTCCCTGTTTATTCCCTGCCTGTTCCCTACCTGTTCCCTGTTTATTCCCTGCCTGCTCCTTGTTCCAGCACTGCCACCACCAAATGCCACTCCCCAAGGTCCTGCCTTGGACATTCTGGCTCCCTGGGATGCTCACATCTCATCCAGGCCATGCCTGCAGGATGCTGGAGTGGAAAAGGGCTCCCAGGGGGATCCTGTCCTTCAGTGCTGCAGGGACAGGACCCACAGCCCCCCTGGGGACTCACTGGCACCACATCCCATTTCCAGGGGCTCAGGAAGGGCAAAGGATTTGGAAAATGTGGCCACTGCTGACCACATCAGATGTGAGCACATGGAACTTTTCCCACCTTGTTGGGAATTCAACCCCTAAGGACACACTGCGCCTAATGAGGGGGGCACAAGGAGCAAGAGTGGGAGGACAACTTTATTTTCCCTTAACACAGTCCCAGGGGATGCCCCAGTGAGATCCAGGAAGGTGCCTCCATCCCATCTCCAGGTGGAGAGGGGCTGGCACCGGATGGGGTTGGAACACACAGCCTTAATTTATCAGGAGAAGGCAAGAGATCCCCAGGGCCCCCGACCTTTCAACAGCCACATGCAGCCCCCTCCCGCTCCTGTTCCGCAGGTACTCCCTCGTTTCCACTTGATTGAAACCCAAATAATGTC